ACAGGGTCTCGCTCTTGTTCAGGCTGGTCTCAAACTCCTGACCTCAAGCGATCCTCCTGCCTCGGCCTCCCAGAGTGTTAGGATTACAGGTGTGAACCACCACGTCCAGCCTTTACTTTTATTTTAAAACAAGAATTATAATTTTTCATGTTTTTTAAAGTTTAAAAATATAGACAACTTGACAAAGAAGGAGAAAAGACAAATCATAATCCACCTCTTAGAGTTAACTAATGCATAATAATCTGGTAGATATCTTCAACAATTTCTTTCTATACATACATTTTTACAAATGTTAAATCTTGCTGTCTTATAACTTGCTTTTTTTCACCTAAAAGTAATGTACCATGGTCATATTTCTCGTTCATTGTATAGTATTCTCTACCACCTACTTTAAATTACTCTGTAATGAGAAATTTCTAAACGTGTTTGATAAAAAGCTAATTATGGACTATCAATGAATAGATGTTTACAACTTGAATAGGAATTAAATGCACACTTTATCATTATGTTTCTAAAATTTTGCCAGTAGTTTGTGTGTTGTGGTAAACTCAAAACTGGTAATCTGGCATGGCTTGGGACATGGGCATCACTTGATTTTGAAAGATAAAGAAATTTTACAGTTGCAGGGGATTTTAGAGCTCATTTATTGAGCTTTCTCTTTTATTAAATCAACTTTATTGAGGTATAATTTGCACATAATAATATGCAGCCATCATAAAGGTTTGATCAATTCCAACCCCTTTTGAAACTACATTTCTTGTTAGCCTAATAACAAACATCTTGCCAGTGAAGTAGGTGTAGAAATTTGCTTTTCAGCTTTCAGAACTAATATTTCCATTAATTTTGTTACAATCAAACACTTCTTGGGCTAACTTTTATCCAAATGATGACTCGTCAAATAACATCTCCCATTTATTATTAATATATGTGCTGCACATGGGACATGCCAGTAACTAACCTGCGTGGTGGATGGTATCAACATCCACATTTCACAGGACAGTGAAATCAGGTTCAGAAAGTCATTAACCGGGGCTACACTGGAATTTGTTCCAGGTCTTCTGTTAGCATCTTCACAGATCTCATTGATTTTATTCACTTGGTTAAGTAAGTCCATGTTGCTTACTACATACCTGCTATAATTAGGTACAAATTGACAACTTTACCTATGGATAGAAAGTCACTTGAATGGTATTTCTGGAAGAAACTATGGTATTTCTGGAAATGGTATGATGGGTTCCTAAACTGTGGGCACTCCTTTCACTGTTGCCCAGCACATATGGAATGATTCATTTAGTTTGTTATGTGTCTACATCCCTGAGTTGACTGACCTATAGGCCTAAGTACCAGCCTCACCTTCCCCTCCCCCAAATTATAGTGTTTCAGAGTTGAAATATAAGCATAACATACTAAAAAGAAACCTTTTATTTCTTTTTAATATTTTCTTCTTCAAGAGATATCCCTTTAGGTCCAAGTTGCTATTTTAAGCTGGATGAAATGGTTGGAAGCCTTCAACTACACTCAGTTCATGAAAGGTATCATGAAAGCAGAAATGATGTAGAGGTCTGGTGTGTCAAATGTTTGAGACCACATCTATCCCCCTCTTCTCATAGAACCTGAACCTGACTTCTGTGGTGATGATGTGCTGAAAATATCCAGATGTAGTTTATCCCCTCTGCCCCGCCCCCACTCCAGACATATCTCTGCTGTAGAAGCTACAGTGCTTCACGGCATGGGTGAAATGTTATACATTCCTAAATATGCCCACTTCTAGGGAGGATTCCATTCTCTAATTTGCCAAAATCCCCAAGCAGCCTGTTTAACAAATGTTTATGTTACCTGCCTCACCACCCAAAGCATTCAGGTGTTCTCCTGCACCCAGGGTCCGAACAGCATGGTATGAGCCAAAAGCATTTTGTGAGAACTGAAAAAATAGTACTTGAACATTAACTGATGAAAGGATATAATATTAATTGAAATATTAATATTGGAGATCTCTAGTTAATAAATTCCAGGTGTTTTTCTTTTACATTTTTTCACTGACTTTCTACAATTAATTTATATTATTTACAATTAGATATTTAGTAAAAAAGTTTCATCAGTACTCCCATGCCACTCCTTAGTGTGCTACAGCTGCAATTCATTAACCAATGGGAACCCATGACAGAAAACCAGCAATAGCTACACACACACACACACACACACACACACACACCCCTCATAGGTATGTGGAATTTATGGTTAAGTACTCTGATTCTCATGGACTTTGGTAACTTTAAGCACAAGATCATCTCATTCATTTTAAGTCTCTAAATACTTCCAGTTACAAAAAAAAAGCAGACTTAGAAATTTTAGTGAGAGAGAAAACAGGACTGACTTTTTTGATTTAGAAAAAACAACAAAAACCATTGTAAAGGGATTAAATTCAGATTATTCCCAACAGATATAAAATGGCTTTTCAGAATGGGATTTCATCAAATGTTACAAATATTGGTGTTTTCTCCTTATTTTAAAGCTGTGTACCTGTACAAAAAATTCCAATTTATGAGGGAAACTGTTGTCAGGCTCCCATACAAACAAAGCAAGACATAGTAAAGACATAATTTAAATGTTCATTATGATAACGGGACAGCCAGGAATTTGAGTCTACAGAAAATTTTTTACACCTCGTTAATGGTTTGGCAAAAGCATCACCTTGGATTTTAGTGGGTAAGAAATCACTAAGAACAACTTGGAAAACAGTTTTCTTTCAGCGTTTTTCTGTGACTACCCCCAAGAGTCATAGAATAGTAGTGGAGATTAGTAGTGGGGTGCGTGGGATATAAAAAAGTGTCCGTATCTATTTTTTTTTTTTTTTTGAGACAGAATCTCACTCTGTTGCCTGGGCTAGAGTGCCGTGGCGTCAGCCTAGCTCACAGCAACCTCAAACTCCTGGGCCCAAGCGATCCTACTG